GAGAAATGTATGTTCTTTGTTTCTGCCTTGTCTGGAAAATTTCTGGGAGCTTTGGCTACATTTTCTTGCCTGAGGAGGGGCAAGGGGCCATGGGGTATTTTTCCTGGAAATGGCTAGATGGCAGATTTGGTTCTGATCTATCCTTCATACTCCTTAACTAAGCAGTCACAGCCCAGCAGCTGATGCTGTTGCAATTCCTGCTGCCTGTGCTTCCATTGGAAGGCAAAACTAGCCAAGATGTAGCAGTTCTTGTTATGTATTTTGGTCTACCCTTTATGCTTCTCTGAAAAATATGCATATAAAAGAGGAGAAATACTACCTTTAAACACTTGATGTTTCAGTGAAATTTAACTTAGAATTTCTTGAAACATAGGAAAGACACTTTGCTAGCATGAAAAGTTATATTCCTGCTGAATAGTGAAGGTTTGCCAAGAAATAGAAGAGGCAAAACGTACAAGAAAAAAATTACAACAAGCAAAGCTGTAAGGATATGATGGATTGGAGACCTCTGGGCAGAATACTTTTCTGCTAAAATAACTATCTAGAAGTGTCAATTTTATGACTTTCTAAATAAACACTCATCTTTCCAGTTGGATTAAAGTTTATATTCATATATCTGTGTTTTATGTAGCATTTTGTTGTGTAGAATTACTTGTTAAAACATACATTTAAATTTGGTATTGCCATGGGACTTAAAAAGCCTAAACAGATGTTAACTAAATTACAGATAGAAAAGGAGGGAAGCTTTTTATCTCTAATCAAACATAATGTTATTTTAATTTTAATTTTTTTTCGAAATTAATTTTAATTGTTTTCATTTTGTCAGAAGTTTCAGCATTTAAATCTTCTATTCTAAACAAAAAAAAAGTTTTCCCAAGTGAGTGCCATTCCTCCTATATTCCAGAGAGCATATATGTGTTGCTGACACTTCTGCATAAACATCTGAGCTGCATGGAAGCAGTTGCTATGAACATACTCTCTTTCATCCAATTTTTGTTTGCACTGGTAAAGTATTGTCTCGGTTGTGTACATCCTTTGAGATGTAAAAGGAATAAAACTTAATTGCCTCTACTCAGAAAGTGTCAGCCTTCTGCACGTGAAAATTCCAGGCCCAACAAACTGCATCGCTGGAAATATGACTTGTGGCTGATGACATGGCTTAAGAATCGTAGAGAATTCCTTCAATTTCTTTTCTTGTTTTAGGTTGCTGTTACGAATGGCATTTGAATAAATTATATAAATGTGCATAAACCATTAAGACAAAAAAACAAAAATATTCTAAGTACAGTTAGGAATCTGTTTCCTAATCTGTTTGCCAAGACTCCAAATCAGTCCAGTAAGACAGCAGCAGCTTGGAATTTGATCTGGGGCCACCTGATCTGTTGTTTTGAAAAGAGGAAGTATAATAAAGGGCCAGGGATGTGGAAGACAGCAATTTCTTTTAACATGTTAGTACTGACTGTGATAGCATTATATTGAAGACAGGTAAGAGAACTTCTTCCCTGCTTTCAAATTATGCAGTAAATATCTGTCTATTTTCCGGTGGTCACTGTATAATGTAGAAAAAAGCTTGGAGAGTTAATTTCAACCAAACATTTTGACACTTTTTGCTTTCTGAACTTGGTGATGTAAATACAACTAATTCTGATTAGCAGATCATCAGATCTAGCTAGGAGATTCTTGTAATCCTTGCTTCTATCTTATGTAAAGTTCCATTTTATATATATTTTTTTAATTATTTAACTCTAAAATGTTTATTAAGAATTCATAATAAGAAAATACATTCAAAAGTTAAATTAAAAGCTAAGGTACATGAAAAATGCCTATTACTGCTACAAAACACATTTCAAAGTACTTGGTGAGGCAAAATTCATGAGGACTGATCTCATAAAGTATTCAAAGTAGTATGCAAAATCCATATTGCTTACCTGTCTGACTTGTAAGAGTGATTATCTTAAAATGGATTCTGAAAAACAGAGTTAGTGTTAAAGTTGGTATCAATACATTTTAGAATAGCATATATATATATATATATATATATATGTATATATATATGTATATATATATATATAATGCTTATAAATATATATAAGGATTGTTTTATAGACACACCCTCTGAACTTTCTGGTGTGTACATGTATGTGCACAGCTACCCACTCACACACACGGGTGGGTAATTAATAGGCCTATTATCTGATTCTGCACCATTAGGGAACAATAAAGGCATCCCTTTACCAATTATGCACATAAATTTGTATTGGTTGTAATTGCATCAATCAGTGCTACAGAAGACATTTAACAAAAGAAATAGAGACACATTTTGTTCAGATTATTAAATGGATAGGAAAGGTTAATAAAAAGCCTTAAGCCAGAAAATGTTCTAGACTGATTTTTCCCTCTTGGTTATATGATGCAATATTTCAAAATGCATTTGCCCTCAGAAAAGCAATTATCTCAAAAAATACTTCTTCTTTGCCATCATACTTATCCTTTCTCTTCAATGTCAGTTCTGTGTGATTAAAACAATTTTCCTTTAATGCAGTAGTGTTTGTCGAGGGAGCTAATTAGTTAACTTGTGGATTCTATTATCCATAATCAGATAGTTTACTAAGCTGCAATTAGTTGCACCTTTTAAGACCCACTGAAAGTAACACAATTGCTTAACTGCTTGGAAGAGCCTGAGGTTATGGAGTAAGTGAAGTGGCATAATTTGCCTTTCTAAAACATTTTTCTGTTTTAGAAAGGCAAATTATGTAAAAGAAGTGAATTTGCAGGGCCAATACTTGAGAGTCAAACAAAGATTTTTTTTTGCTTGTAAAGTTGTGCATCTAATTTCCAAATTACAGGAACTAAGAGCATAGAATTTCCATTTATGTTTGTATATAGTAATTTTTCCTGGGTACAGTCACACTTTATCACTGTAAAGAGTTCCAGGACATGGTATATCTGTGGTTGTAGTTTGGAGTGGGATGAATTACTTGCTGAAAGGCCCTGGAAACTACTCAGTTGCAAAAACTCAGACATCTAATAGCACATCTAAGGTACTCCTCCTGGCTTACAGCTGTTACCCTGGAGTATGTGAAACAGCAGTAGACAATGACATTCAGACAGCTGTGTGCCACCCCTTGCTTCCCTCCATCAGCTGAAACAGGAACAAGGGATAACTACCTCAGCTTGTTGATACCTGTGTTTGGTCAGATGACCCCGACACTGAAAATCCTAGGAGCAGACTTTATAGGGCTTTAGAATAATCTATTTCCTAGAAATTCAGTAAATCATTAATAACACTTACTTTTGCAACTTGGAAAGCTGTAATTTAGCCTAATAAGCAAAGTAAATATATTTAATTCCCCAGTATTAGTTAACAGTCAAAACAATCAGTGTATAGGCATGATTGTCCTAGAGTTGTATGTTTGATATTTGAAGAAACAGACTGTCTTATTACCTCTGATTTGGAAGGAGGTTTTCCCAAATTAGGCAGTTTGATTTAACTTAACTTTATAAATATGCAAATACGTAAAATACTTTTATTAAATAATGTAATACTTTTTCATGTTTTGCTGTCTGTTCTGATAAGAATGTCGATACTGAATTCTTGGCAGCTGTTTCTGAATTGTACTTTTCTTACCAAGTTCCAGAGAGACAGAATAAGAGTATGCAAGGCTAGGGATAATATGTCTTAGTAACAAACCTAATTTTCAAGATTTCTAGAAAACTCAGCAAAATTATTTTGCTAAATTGAGGCTTTGCAGTAAGATGACTGTGGTGTCTTAACTTTGTCTCTGAGATGGGAGACTCTCTGAAAACCATTACCCCAGGGTGCTTAAACACAGATTTTAGATTTAATAACTACTATCTCAGAAAGCAAAGTGAGCAATCTCTGACCCAACGTCTTCCTCAGTTTTAGCTGGAGAAGGTAAAGTGCTGTTTTTTTCTTAGATTCTAGTGGAATCAAAAATAACTTATATTTTTTGTAAAACCAATGATTGTATTATAGATTTCACACTGTGGGAAGTCTTACAGTAGGTAATCTAGACTGAGTAAAACAATTTGATGCATTTTTATAGACCCATGTTGAAGTCTTGACCCATCTGCCTTTGTGTCACAGTTTTTGATTTGTGTAAACAGTTTTTTAGATTTGATAGAGCTATTGGTCCTTTTTCTAAAAATACATAATTAATTTTCCAGCAGCTATGATTTTACCTTTCAGTTCTGATCATCTACCTACTGTAATTGAAGTCTTTTTCAGAATAAGGTCATCTCATATTATTGGTAGATTTTGCTGTTAAGTACACAAAATTTCATTCCAGAGAGACAGTTCTCCAAGGTTTAAGTTTGTATCTTACCAGATATTTCCTATGTACAGAAAGCTTCTGTGTAAAATTACAGTTTTTAAATACAGGACAGGTAAATTTATATTGGATAAAGCTGTAAGACTTCTAAAAAGTTTTAGTTTGGTCAGTGTCCTTGTTCCAGCTAATTTGACAAACTGAATATTCCACTTTAAGTGGCTCAGAACTGGCTTACACATTTTCTATTGAGATTGAGAATTTGGACTTTTAATTTGCTTTCTGGAGGTATCACTCAAATAAATGAGTGTCTATATTTAGGAGTAAAAAAATCTTTTTTGCTTGTTATTTTATTTCTTAGAAAACAGAAATCCACCAATTCTAATTATATGCCCAAAACAAAGCTGTTATTGTAGTTTTTTCTCCACATCACCATGGTATGTCACAGCCTATGGATAATTAGGTAAAGCAAACTCTCTCATGAAGAGGAGGTTATGTTGGCTTTTCATTTGGTAGTGTGATATAGTGCTAGTTGTTTACTGTTACCACAAAAGAAGAACATTTTTTAGAAGTAATCGTATTGAATGTATAGGTGTCCTGATTAAATAAATAATACTGCAAATTTTAACAATATTCCTTATACTGTCATCTGAGATGTTAGGCTGCAGAAATGTTTTCACACTCTATGTACTGATTATTTTTTATTCCCAGATCCATTCTGTGTATGATATCGCCCAGTATGAGAATATGTTTCTTTTGTGCATGATTCTGGAACAACTTCTTCAAAATGAGACAGAAGAAAGTAACATTTCAAGTTCAGACTATGGAGGAGAAGAAAAAATCAAATTTCTGAAGAACCTTGATCAAATTATTCTTCATCTCTCAGATGAGTTCCCTCTGTTTTCTTTATATTTGTGGAGAGTGAGTGTTCTTTTGAACTCAGGTCAAATGCAAATTGATTAAAACAATCAGCCTACTTTTTAACCATGCATTTGTTACGGGATTGCATTGGAAAATTTTCAAGCCAGACAGGGATATTGTCCTTATTGCGAAACATTTACTTTAAACTACTGTTCTATACAGCAGTTTCAGAGATAATGTAATTTATTTCCAATTTTCAATGTAGAAAAAAATGTAATAATCCAAGTGCCATTTTCAATAAATGCTGTTTCTTATAATAGAAAACAGTGTGTTGGTGTTTGTGCACACAGTGAAAATGGAGAAAAGATAGTTGTTTCATGTGCTGTTTAAAATAAACACTACGAATTTTAAAATACAATCATATTGTGTACATAGAGCTTCCATGTTAGGAGACTAATGCCTGTCCTTTAAGAGTTATATAGCTTCTCTAAGATTTATGAGACAGTGTCTGGTTGGCTGAAATGGAAATGTTTATTTTAAACTTGGTAACTTATCAGTACAAATTCTTACAGGTAAGACCTTGTTACTGATAGTCAAATGAGTCATTACTTGAGCAAAATAAAATCTGGTGCTCAGTGTCACAACTTTCTTATATTCATTGTATACTGCTTGGCTTTACTTGTGTATGCACAAGTTTAGGTCCAATAGGCCTAATTCACTCTGAGTTGAGTAATGATTTCAGAGATCTAATCTGAAGAAGTGTAACTCATTTAATAGTTACTTTAAACCTTTCTGTTCAAAATTAATGAATATTGATAAAGTTCCCTTTGGTTTTTGTGTTTTAAAATGCTGGGTTTTTTCTGTATGATAGTATTATATTCTTATTCATAATATTAATTAAAGTAATGTATTTTAACAGGAATTATCTCAAAAGGTCTTTAAAGTATGACCTCAACAATATCTTAACTGAACCATAGTCTTTTATAAATCTAAATGATGATTATTTTGATTAATTGCTCTTTTTTACTATTAGATAATTAACATTTTAGTTTTATTATGTCTCCTAGAAGTGTATATTCACTATAAATGCAAAAAATTTTGAGCATTAGTCCTTGTCCTTCCCCTTGAACTTATCAGATCAATTTTTATGTCAGGAAAACAGGAAAATTCTCTGAAACACTACTATCTTGTTTATTTGAATACATTTATTTTTTAATAAACCTTTGTTTTATATATATATGTAAGATTCATTGCTGTTTAGAAAGTGAGGTGTTTTGATGTTGAATTGGCTCCCCAGAGAGTATTTCTTAGTTAAGACACTAGCCCCTGTTCTGATCTTAAACTTCCTATTTCATATGTCATATGGTAACATTTATTTAATGCTTTCTTCTAGCTTTCTTTCAACATAAATTTTTGATTTACAGAACAAGCATTCCTGACTAGTCATATGAGAAAATCAGATAAGTTTAGCCAAACTAAAGAAAATAAATCAGCGTGTAAGTTTGGTAGCCACTCAGAAACTACTTTTTGTTGCTGCTTTACTTGTTTGTTTGTTTCATTCTGGTGGAAGATCAGTTCCAGCACTGAAAGCATGATTGCAAAAACAGAAAGGAAAGGAATGAACAAAAATTAACAATTAGCTAATTGATATAATAATTTTAATTTTTTCAAAAAAGCTTCATTCAAATGTAGCATGTAAGCAAAAGACAAAATGCAGAAGGATACTGGTATCTTTATAACGGCAAAATGTGTATTTTTCAAGCCTGTTATTTGAAAGAAAAGTTTCGACCCTAGATTGTACACCGTATTTGTATAGGTTTTGTATCTAGAGATGGCACAACTACATGGCACTTATGCTCTGACAGGAATTTGGAACAGTTGAGCAGCTTTGACAGTGTTGAGGCAGAGTGAGAGTTCCCTTTGCAGTGCCATTGCAGCAATCTAGGCACACACTCGCCTCTCTGCAAAAGTGCTGTTAACTGGTCAGCTCAGCTCTCCTTATCTACTTAGTGCAGAATTAAATAGGACTGTGAACCACATTAATGAACACCTCAGCTTTGGTGGGGGCAATAACCCCTGCAATCAGAATCCTTACTAGATTGTTTTCTCTTGTTTCCTGGACATTTTTCACTAAGAGGGGACTTGTCTCAAGACGAAAATGTACAAAGGTAGATTTGTATATTTAGATGTCTCCGTATGGTTGAGATATCTAATCTATGAAACACTTGCAAAGTAACCAAGGGTTGCAAACTGTGTTATCTAGCTGCTACCTCAAATGACTGCAGTCCTCTAAGTCTTTTGTCACATTTTCTCCTCTGATGCCCTGAAGCACCTTTAGTGGCACTGTCATTTAAATGTGTCTGCTTAGACAACCGAACAGTGGTGATAGCATGAGCTTAGCTATGGAACTCACCACCACAAACATGCATTTAGGTGTCCTAATCTGAAAACTAAACCCCACATTTTTGATACCTTATACGTTTTAAAATAGGAAATCCTAGGTTTAAATCCCTGCTCTTCAAACAATTTCTGCTCTTATCCAATGACTAAGATTACAATTAGATGTAATTTGAGTAAACACCACTGTCTTTAGTTTTGAAATTACCAGGATGACTGAGATAGTCCCTGGAGGATTTGCAACCAGATTACAAGAAATTTGCCGGCAAGTTTAAACTGTCTTCGAATGCTTACTAAGTAAGTATGACCATGTCCAAGTTTTACCTGTCTGGCCTCCAGAGAGGAATACCAAATCCAGAGAAAGTGCTCTTTGCTGAGTGTAGACTATTGAATGTCTCAAAAGAACAATCTCAAGGTCCTGAGATGTGCTGAGCATAATATCTCATAGACTTAAATAGGAAATACTGAAAAGAATTTGGTCTGACCTGTCATTCTCAAGTGTTTTACATGATTTACCCTTACAGTTCAAGGGTACTTCTTTTGTCTTGCACATTTCTTGTTTTGCAAATACATGTACTTTAGATGTTGGCAAAATGCTATTGTTCTGAAAATGCAAATTGTTCAGCCTTACAAAAACAAATGTATATATAAGCACACAAATTATATATTTATATTGAATTAGCAATGCTTATTTATTGGTAGCCTAATAGAAGTTTATGAATTTATAATTTGTTGTTCTGCCACATTTGTAGCTTTCTGGGTGACTTTCATGCCTGTCTCTATCTGTTTTAGAAAGACTTTTGTGGTAAAATGTCTCATTTTATGAAAATAGAAAAATTGAGGCAAAGAAAATAAATTTTTCTTCTAGCGCTGCTCCATTGAACTGACTGTTCTATTCCCTGAAGGCTTTTGCATGCCTACTAAATGGCACCAGTGGGTGGGATTTTGAGGTGGACTGTCTCAGAATGTTTTTGTAAACTTAGTTTGGAATATTTTCATAATCTGTTTATAATTTATTGATTTTTCAAGTTATTACCTATGTATTGGTAAGAGTGAAAATGAAGTTGTACCTTTTTTTAATCCTGTAAAAATATTTTTTTCATTCAGTTATCTATGCATTACTGTCTGATACAGTTTGTAGTTTATTGTGGTGCAACATTAGTTGATGTTCATAGAATCATAGGAAAATTTGGGTTGGAGGAGACTTCAAGGTCTCTGGTCCAACTTCCTGCTTCAATGAACATTAGCTGTGGGATCAAATCAATGTTGGTTAAATCAATGTAGTCTGTTGCTATTTCAGTATTCAGTCAGGTACTGAAAACTCTCCAGGATGGAGCCTAGATCTGCTCTTATGCTTGACTGTCTTCATGGTGAAAAAATGTTTCCTTGTATACAGTCTGAACTGGTATGCAGTTACTTAATTTATGATCAGTGTCTTAAGTCTTTTCACCACCCAGAGCCTGGATCTGTCCCCTTGATATCTTTCCCATAGGCACTGGAGGCTGCTGTTAGGTCCCTCTGCAACCATCTCTTTCCCAGGCTGATCAGGCCCAGCTCCCTTAACCCTCTGGAGGCACAGATGCTCAAGCCCCAGGCATTTCAGTAGCCCTGTGCTGAATACACTTCAGTTTATCAGCATCTTTTTACTGGGGGCCCCAAATGGGCAGTAGTATAGCTGCAGATTAAGGGGCACTGATTAGAGGGAGGTAATCTCTTTCCTTAAACTGTGCTCCTGCTGGCACAGCCCAGGATGCCCTTGGCCCTCATCACTGCCAGGGCCACTGCAGGCTCTCACTCAGCTCACTGCCCACCAGGGCCCCCGAGGGCTTTGCCTGCACAACTGTCTCCAGCCAGGCTCTCCCAGCCTGTATCCCTGCAAAGGAGACTTCCTTCCCAGGCTGGACACTTTGCCCTGGTCCTTCCTGAAGTGCAAGTCTCTGTTATCAACTTGAGAGAGAAGTAGTTAAAAACTAGTCAGATAAAATCAGAGGACTACATTAACATTAGCATCTTACTCTATTTCAGTTTAATAATGAAAAGAAGGGTAAGTTTTAAAGTATTTTAATTATTCATAATGCTAAGCACAAATACAGGAAAAGCAAAGGATGTTTGTTGTGTTTGTTTTTGTTCCCTGAGCAGCTGTCCATATATGTTTCCCTTTAGAACTCAAAGAAGTTTTATTGATTTTTTGCTTCCATAGCTATATACTTCTAGCTTTCCTGGATTGTCTGTCTAGCTTTTTTGTCTGTAACATGCCAGTAAGGGATTTTTTTCTGTTCTGCAGTTCTTAATTGCCTTGATTTGCAACATTTTCTGCAACTTCATCCAGATGGTCTGCTTTACTTAGGCCTTTATTAAATCAGCTCCCCCTTATGTAAATTGTTTCACCTTCTTTATCTTTTAGTTTTTCCTATTTTGCATATAAGTAAATTTACTTGGTCTGCACCTGCTTCTTTAATTGAACACGCAAAGTTAGTTTACAGCCTTGCTTTAATTAAGCCGTTCTTTCAGTATGGTTTCTTCTAAACTTGCTGATTTCAAATTCCTCTTGAATTCTTAGGAGTTATGCCCATCCTTAAAATGATGATACTAAAGAGAGGCTCATCCTTGAGAAGAGCACTGTTTACATATCACCGGCTTACCAGGCTTGATTTCATGTTTGAGACAATCTTCAAATTATACTTAAGGAAACATTCTCTGCAAAC